TAGTTAAATGGGGGCAGCGAGGGGGAGAGAGAAAGCAAGCGCACATGAGAGAAAGCACGAAATAAAGAACTCCTTTTCAAAGCCAGAAGTAAAGACATCCTTTTGGGTCTGGTGCATTCACTTACGCAGGCGCACACACACGAAACCAAATCCAACTTGTGCCCTGCTACTAACCTCTGCTGGCATTTACATAATGCCAGTCTAGTCTGCTGTGTGATAAATAGCAACCTGTATATCCCTCAGCATTATTAACTCTTAGACTGAGAGCACTGGGCTTAAAAGAAACACATAGCACTGCTAAAATATGCATTTGTATAAACATCAAGTCTTCCCCAAGCATTTTTGTTGGTGTTAGGTTTTTTTTTTTAATTAAAAAAAAATCTGAAGACATTGTGAATACTCCAGGAGACTGGGGTAATGTGGTATGATTATCAAAGGAAAGACGTAACATCAGCCTCACAGTTTACAAACGCAGTATTCAGTTCTACATGTAAATGAGATCACATACAGTAAGCAAATAGGATCACTATTCACAATAATTACCACTCTAATTCACAGATTATCTCAAGAGTAGATGGTAACAGACAAAAAAAGAAAGAAAACAAAACAACATACCACAAAACCCAAACTTTTTTCCCCCCGGTTGACCCTTTATACAATAAATCAGCTTTATGTGGCCACGACTTAGAGGAATTTCAGTTGCAGACTTGACATTGCAGAGAGCAAAGCATAAAGGTTTTGAATGGTGTAGTTGTTCAGAAGAAACCTAGAGCCTTCCCTTCACAGGCATCAACTTAATTAATTGTAAGGAATCTGGTCATTATGCAAATGAATTCAGTCCTGTGATTGGTTATTGCAGCAATGAAGATTCTCACACTATCCACATAAGTTCTGAAAATAGCAACGAGCATCTGCTCTGTGCAGTCTACCCGATCAACTTTCCTTTTACTATTTGCTTCAAAAAGAGTCTTCCAATAAATGTATAGTTCCTGACACCATAAATTACAAAGGAGTAAAGGAACATCATGTGAACACCACCTCTGGCTAAGTGAAATAACATTTCTGGTAACAGTCATCTACAGACTACAAGATGACTTGCTGGACAAATTAACCAATCTAGTAATATATTTACTTCATATTATCTACTCTGTGATCTGCACTGCACATCCATACACAGAGACCTCTACTGTGCATTTATGTCCAATATATTTAAGACATAATTATAATCCTGTGTTCATTCCAATTAATATTTTAATGCAAAAATCAGTCCTGATATTTAATGAAGCTCATTCTTCCACTTTTAATCTAGTTTATCATGTCTATTTTAAATTTTGAAGCCATGCAATGTCATACCTAATTAAAATTTAACAAGGCAAATACATTCCTCAGTAGGAAGAGAGTACATTCACTTTCCAAGGGTGAAAAAGCTATGCAACTTCAGTTTTGCTTGGACAGAGAAAGTAGATAAGTTTAATATCTTAAGCTATTTTGCCAGTAAACTGTTATTATTATGAAAAGTTTGTCCAGAAAGAAAGAAGTTTCAAATAAATAACAGATTATTTGGTTTACCTTCTCTTTTGGCTTTTGTGATTTTAAAAGTTTTGGATTGTGTATACAAAGTTGAGAATACACACGACTGTAAAACAAGTTAAAGAAAAGGCTAAATATGATTATCCCTTCTAGTTTCATAATTCATTCTGAACTCAGCTAAAATCAGGTAGGCAAATACGTTCAAAATTTGAAGGATTTAAAACCCACTGTAACTTGAATCCAAGTTTAGCTACAGAATCTTGTTTAGCTTCATTTTTAAAGAATTCTGAGAAGGAGTCATGCTTAAAATGTATCTGTACATGCATCAAAATAACACTGACATGGGAATTTAGACAATCCAAAGATGAGTATTAACAACAACCAAAAAAACCCCATAAAAACCAAAAAGCAAACCAAGTCCTAGAAAAATGAGGATATAAAACTTAGTCTGTGCCCTCCGTATAATTCAACTGAACATTGCCTACATGTCTGGACAACTGGAATTACCATCAATTGCTGAGTTTTGAATATTGTGGAATAATCAAATAAACACAGTGGGTAAAGTAAGGCTAGTACTGGAGAAAATACTTTGTTCGTTTACTTTAACTATATGAAATCTTAGTTCTAGTTACCCCAAAGAACCATAAGATATTTTTGTTAAAACAATGAAGTCATAGTAATAAGAGATCCCACCTAAGAAATTCTTGTTTATTCTGAAATATTAGCTGGGAAGTGAGTAGACTAGGTATACTTTGATTTAACAAAGTTAGATGTTCAAATTATTGAAAATTGCAACAGAAAATAAAATAACCATTTTAACCAGAAGTATATGCATTTTCATGCCTTGTTTCAATTTAATTTGGTTTTGGTTTTTTTTTTATTTTTAAATAAAACAGTATTATTTCTTGAAGGCACAACTACTACCCATGAAGGCTAAGGTAACTGATGTAGCAAGACAAAGAGGTTCAGAGGCAAAGACAATAGTATATGCTAACATACAAGAAAAACAATGTCAATGTAGAATTCTCCCTTCAAGGATAGTCTTAATTTATGGTCCTTTTAAAGTGTACCTATTGCTGTCCTGAACATAAAACAGAGCTCTGAACATACAACCTGAGAATAAGGCTCTGTCTTCATAAAACTAATCAGATGAGAATGGGCCCTCAAGAAATTTCAGTGACCCATAATTTTGTAACATACTTTGAATTGTGAGATGACTTGGTATTAAAAGTAACATTCTATTTCTATTATTGTCTTAACACACACTGTGTTCTGCAAGGAACAAATATGTGACTACACATGCACTAATTAAATACTCATAGTAAGAAAAAAAAGGTCATCACAAAAGCAGACCATATTTTGTAAAGATATAATTCTCTTCTGTAACTAGAAGTGTGAATCAAGGAGACACAAGAGAGTTAAACTCTCCCGTTATTAGAGCTGAATAACTAACACTTATAGTCCTTTAAAAAATAATGAGATACAGAAGCCAAAGTATTAGTTAGCTCAAACAAGGATGAAGATGCAACTCTCAAACTCTTAAGAGAAGAAACATCCTGGGGAAAAAAAAAAAAAAGAAATATTTAAAATCATCCTTTCTTTCATCTCTGCCTCCTCATTAGTATGGGTTTGAGGCTCTTTCCTCCAGCAGCAGGAGCCAAGCTCCCAAGCAAGTGGCACACTTTGTTCTATGTTCTTTCAGGATATGGTATTCCTTTTTTTTTTTTTTTTTAGAGGATACAAGGAAGAGTTAAAACTCTCATCCTGACTCTCTGGCTGTATGAGAAAATTTCCAGTTGAACTCACATCACTAAGTGCTACAGGGTTACAAGGTATCTAATCACATGTAAACGATCAAAATATTGGAAGATAATGAATAGGCTGATCAAACGTAAAGTTTATGTGCACTTACTCCCAGAATTCCATCACTGGAGAAGTGGCATTTTGTAAAGAGACTTGACTGCAGTTGCTCATATTAAGTTTTTGAAATTCCACACAGTTTTCTATAAAAGAACAAAAAGAGTTTGCTATATTGACATGTAAGTACATTTCTTCTTATGCATCTTCTAGTTTATGCATCTTCTAAAGCCACCATTCTATAACACATTTTCTCTATGTGGTCAAAGGATTTCCAGGTACACTAAGACGCCACAACCGCTACTTCTGCAACACTTATTTTGATCACCAGATCACAAGTATGTCCCAGAAAAATGTCCATGCAGTATGCTACGTTCTCCTATAACACTTTCCAAAGGCACAGTTGCAATGACAAGGACCAATAAAACATCTGAGGCAGAAGAAAGATGCTTTGAGAAACTGAGGCGATTGATTGGGAATTACAACATACTCCAACTGCTGCTTCAATGGCCAATGTAACAATTGGCTTATGAAACACTGCCAGCAACAAGTTTCCACTTTGCCTTAATATAGCAAGTGAAAAGTCACTCCAGCTTATTATTGTTATCTCTAATACAGAGCAAGGAGATCAAAGCAGCTCAGCGTTGTTGAGCTGACACTTAGTATTTGAATAGTGATCAACATTGGCTAAACTCCTTCACAGAGTTGCCAAAATTGACACTGAAGCCTTCCACATCTGTTGGGTCCAAAACTAATTTCCCTACCATAACCTAAACTGCAAGATTTCAGACAGCTTTACCTGTGCTGAAAGAACATGATAACAACCAATAAAAACCACGAAAGGCAGTACAATCGCTACATGATTTGAAATTGATCAGTAATATAAGGAATAACGCAAAAAACCTTCAAGAACATGGAAATACGGGCATTGGTATGTATTCCTCCCCACAGATGTTTGTGATCTTCAAATGCAATAAAGTAGAGCATTACAGATAAAAATATCAATGACAGGACAGACGCAGAGCCCTGTACTGCAAATCCTTATGAATACACACCTCATCTTTCATGTAAGAGGCTACTTTGCATGCAGCAAGGATTATTTATGTGACTAAATTTTCAGAAGTAGCTTGATGAACATATTATGCCTCAACATCTGGCATTAAAAAGAGTGAATTCAAAGTTCCACATTTAATATTTTCCTTTCCATTCAAACTCCTCCTGATTTCATTAGAGTGAAAGAGCAAGACTGTAACCTGTCATCAGGTCATCAGCTCTTCAGTAGAATTCACTTACTGTATTCAGGGAGAAGAGATATGATTGCAAATGAGAGCCTTGGGATTTAGCCAGAATATCTTACAGAATTAACAAAATCCAAAGCAATCTTCTACTATCCAACATGATATTCTGCAGGAACAAATGGTTATACAGTGACCTAAACCAAAAAGGTATGAATAAGTCTTCACTCCAGGATTTCTTTATCATGGTGTAGTGCAATGTGATTAAGCTCATTTCCACATACTTTTCTATCAGAATAGTTTTGCTCCTCACATTTTAATGTATTAATCAATTACTTGGAAGTATTTGTGTAGCAATAATCTCTACTGAGGTCATACCTGTATTCCATTCATGTCCACAGGTAGCCCAAGGAAGCTCTGTTGTAAAGCAGTTAAACAAATAGAAGATAGCCCATGCTAAAATGATGATGTAATATACATTCAGATGTGCCTCTATAACTTGGGTAGCATATCCAATGCCTAGAGAAAAAAAAAGTGAGACACAATGGAAAACTTTTACTTTTCAGGTAATTTAAAAAACCAATGCTTACTACTTTAAGTATAGCTTAAGTTCAATTTTGATACAATTTATTTTATTTCAAATTTAATACATTCTTGTGCAGTAGAACACTAAACTGTTTGTTACCTTCAAATAGAGGGCAAACTTTCCTCCAGCATGTAATGCCTCCTTCACTAGTAAACTGTCCCAAGGCCGTCTCCAAGAAAAATACTGGTATTCCACAGCAAATAAAAAAAACCACATATGGAATGAGGAAAGCACCTACAAGCAAACATTGAGGGGGTATTGGTTATAATGAATACAGTTCCTTGACAGCACAGTGAGAAATTAATTTTCTTCATGAAGGAAGGATAATCTATTAGCCACCTCTCAGGCATCATGCTGAAAGTGCACAAAGTGTTTACTCCTGGCTCCAAATACCAAAAGTTAACCTGTAACCCAATGTCATGAACTAAAAAAGATCAGACCAAAGTTCCTCAGTATAGACTGAGACACTATAGTGTTTCTCAAACACAGAAAAGACCACAACCTCGCTCAGCCACACAGTTCTGCTCTGATCACCACCAAGTCAGTCTACGCTATCTTATCTTCCTTGCTTTTCTCAGGACGAAGAAGTGTTACGGAAATTAAATCCAAGAAATCCTTTGTATGTTATTTGGGTCAGCCTGATGATAAGGATCATGAAAATGGAATGATGAAATAAACTTTAGAACTACTTACAAGAACAGGAAAACAGGGCTTGGCCTTATCAGCTAGAAATATTAATGTGAAATTGTAGGAAAATAACAGAGCATCAAACATTTTTGTTAGATGCTTACAGTAAACTCCAGCATAAATAATGAATAGTACAATTCAATGCTGAAGCACTGTATACTACAACAACAAAAATAATCTCATCCTATTGATTTACACACAGCAGAAGTGTGTGTATTTATTTGATGATTTGTCACGTTATTAGGTGTGGCACCTAAAGAGCATGGCTGTGAAGTATGTCGAAGCAAAAAAGTGAGAGAAGATATGTATGTTAGCCATAATGTCACTTACTAATAATCTTGATTTTAAGTACTCCATTTAGAACTGAACCTAAGCAATAATAAAATACAGCCTTTTGACTACATAGAGAATCCATTAACATATAAGGCACAACGAATTTTTTCATCATTCCCCAAGTACTCAGACTTTCTGATGAGTCAAAGGATGAGATGGAAAGCAAGCAACTACATTGGTTTAGACTGAAACAAGGAAAGAAGGAAATAAATATGAGAAGAAAGCACAAAATAACCAATTCTGTCATTTTTACTTACACTAAGAAAGTTTTACTGGTTTAACCAGGCAGACTAGCGCAGCAGAGTACTGCACAGAATAGTTTACCCGAAGTTGTAGAAAAATTACAAAGCATTAACTGTCTAATTAAGTTATGAAAATAAAGTGTAGTACAACATACATAAGGTGTTTTATCCAGGCCTCAACCTACTTGCTCCCAAACAAATAGTCCCACACCACTAATTAACTTCATTTAAAGCTCCCATTAAATGATGCAAGTATCCCACCATTCGTTCCGTTTCAAATCAACACAAGATATGTTAAACACAGAAAAGTTTTGGTGGATGCAGTTTTTCCTAGGAAGAGGTATTTTACAGTGCTGTCCATCATTGCATGCATTGATTACCTCTTTAGAGCTCTAGCAATGGCAGGATTTCCTTCCTTCAACGGGAGTCCTGAAGATCAATTTGATCATTAATGAACAGTACCTTAATAGCTACCTCTCTAATACTAAATCTCTATCAGAATATTAACTACGAACAAAATGCTTATGAATATACTTCATGAAAATTTCTACAACTGAAGGCAAGTAAGTATCCCATTCATGATCTTAAAAAAAAGAAAAAGCCCACACCAAAAATCAAACACCACAACACAGCCACAACCTGCAACAACTGTTAGGCTTTAGTCACTTTGATTAAATACAGCTGCTCTGACTTGCAGTTTTCCTTCAGACCCAGCACATCAAGAGAGATCTCTTCATGCGTAGTCTCTTCCCTCAACCAGGCAATTTGCCTATAGTTGAATATTGGCTGCATCTCAAGCAATACATGTGGATTTCACAAAGAATGGAATCCTTACATCTAAACCATGGTTTGTCTGTATGATTTACTGTGCAAATGGTTTGAACAAAATCCTTACAGACCAAGCAAACTGCTGGCCAGTAACAAATCCACCTTGGCCCACTCATATGCACAATCATAGTGAGTTTAATATGGCAACTTGTTGAAATTGAAAGTATTAACTCTATTTTCGAACACTATTCTACAACAGGTATGCATCACGACAAGTAGAGCACATCAGGCTTCCGAGCTTGCGAATAGATCATATTCCAAGAAATACCTAATTCTAAACATGTAAAGAAATTAATTTTCCTAAAAAAACCTCTAAATATCCATAAGAACAAAGTAAAAGTTATAGAAGCTTATAGCTACATGACCTGTTATGACTCAGAGTAAGGATCAGAGAGAGGTCAGACCTCAGAAGTTCCATACTGCTGCTTTTAGATTCTTTCTGTATCTAGCAAGATATTTCATAACTAACTCATACATCTTACCATCGTCTTCACCTACCACACACTAAGTAGTTCTCAGTATTTACGTCTGATGCATCAAACAAGTCCAACTCTAGTCAAATTCCAGCAGGGCATTCCAGAGAGTTACAAGAACACAGGTCATAGACCAAGTTCTCATTGAAGTCAGCAGCAAATTTCCCATGGTGCCAGGACATGACCAATTAAACCACACATGTTAATTCTATTCTTATAGAGTGGTGACTAAGTATGATATTTGAAGTAATTACTTTTTCACCAAATCACCCCAAAACATGGTTGGAATTTTTTCTACCTAATATTATAGCCTTAAAAATGACAGCACCACATTTTGACAAGCTAGCATATACATATAAATGGACATACAAAGGGTACTGTCTGAACAGGGAAATCTTCATTATGTACCGAAAAAATATTTCTATCTTTTCCTCTGCCAAAATTTCTCTGGAAAAACTTTGACAATCAACAAGAAACTGTTCTGCATATCATATCCAGCATATTAATATTTACATACTAACAGCAGTACTTGGTGGCATCATTCTCAAAACACACGGATTCTTGTTCTTAGTTTCATCAAAGCACAGATATATAAAAGAAAGGAGCTGCAAACCATGAACACATCTTCCACAGTAGTATTAACCTTACAGAAACAGCAAATAAAATGGGCCAAAACCATCCCTGAGTTCAGACAACCATGCCTAGTTTTGAAGGGACAAGGGAAAGAAATTTGGCACAGTGTCGTTAGCACACAAATCTGTTAAAGAACAGACCTTTGCATATGAGCCACAGAACATACTATTTATTTCCCAGCCTATATGCTTGCAGTAACACTGATGCAGGCCTCAAGTGGGGAAATATGTTGAATCCAGTCCACAGAACTCTAAAGTAAATTTTTAGTTTACTTTTTTTTCCTCGTTGCTTCGCAAGTCACAGTCGGCATACTTATTCTTAAGTGTCACATATCTTACATAGTTTATACTTAACTATAATCAATACATGCCACATATTATACTTCTGTAGAAGTTAAGTCTTTTCACTTTCAAATAACATTCTAAATTTTACAGGGTTTGCTCTCTTCTTTGACTAACAGGAAGCTTTTACACTTTCCCCTACCCTTCTGTAGTGATTTGGCAGATAATGAGGAAAAAAAAGTACAGTTGAGTTAAAGAAATTTTCACATGTTAAAGAAAAAAGAAGTAATCTTTGTACCATTATCAAAACCAATATTCATTCTCTCCAAAGTATACTGTTGTGAAAAATAAACTGCTGCATTCTTTTCTAAGTCAGACTTATTTAAGTATGCTTGGGTCTGTATTCACATGCAGAAGAAAACACAGTGTACTACTATAACAGAACACTGGCTTCCTCCACACTGAAGATCTTACAGAATAAAATATGTCGCTTTACTAACACAAAAGAAACTTGTAAGAGTAGGCCACACAGTATTTAGGAGGAGAAGGAAAGAGAAACATGACACTTTTTTCTAAGTTGCCAGATGCTTAATACTTCCCTAGCCACATATACACTGAAATCCTGAATACCGATCTCTTACTAGTGCAAGAAATCATTGTAAAGCATTCTTAACTGTTAATTTCCCACATGTTTATGGTGAGCTGTAAATCAACATATGATACCATCTTACCTCCTCCATTCTTGTAGCAAAGATATGGGAATCTCCACACATTTCCCAACCCAATAATCTCCCCTGCCACAGAAAGCACAAATTCAACCTTATTGTTCCAGTGACCTCGTTCATGAACTTTCTTATCATTTCTGTGGATGAGGTTGGTACTTGAGGCTTCTGGGTCCAAAGCATCTTCTGGCTTGCCATTAATTATAGGAAGAGTCTTTTCAGCTGTCATGACTCTTCAGCCTAGGGAAGAACAAAAGAAAACACACAGACATTTTAAGTCACTTGTTAGTAATAACCTCCAATGACTAAAGAAGTCCCTCAGCATATCATTGGCTCCTTATTACCTACATAAATTTGCAGGTGAAACCAACGGAGGTAACTGTAAGACTGGAAAAGTTGTAAAGAAGGAAGAAAGAAAAAAAAGGAAAAGGAAGGAATTAAAAAAAAAAAGCAGCCTACATACAAGGAAAGGAGATTTCCAAGTTGAGACAGACAACTTAGTAGTACAGCACTGTTTTAAGGCGCAGATAGTGAAGCTTTTCAAAAATCCCTCCCCAAGCAAGGATCCTGGCTTGACTAACCTACCAGAAGACAGAGATCTGCTGCACCTTCCAGGCACGCAATTGAGACCAGAAGAAGAAATGGATGTGGAGGAGGGGGCCCGAATGGTTCTGGCCTGCCTGGAGGAGTAAGGGAGCTCGCAGACTACTCACCCAGGGCTCTGCCTGTGCCTGCGCGGCTGGGAGAGGGACAGGGTCTCTAAGTCAGTGCCCGGCTGCGAGCGGACCTCCGCGGGCTGCCCCCCTCCGCTCTGTTGCACAGGAGGCCCGGGGCAGGGCAGCCGCCGGCGCCCAGCGGCAGAGGCGGGAACAACCCGAACAGCGTTAGGGTAACGAGGAGCCGGGGAGCCTCGTCCTGTTCTGCAGCTGCTGCCCGGCCGCCCGGCGGGGATAGGATGCTCCCCGCGCTCTGCAGCCGGAATTTGCAAATGCTCAGCCTTCCCCGGAGCGATGGTATAACACCCGCCTTCCCCCTCCGCCCACCTCAGGCTG